AGTCTAGACAGAAACCAAACAAACGCTATGATGTTCTGCGATGCGAGAGGAGGAAAAAAAAACCAGAATGCCAAAGAGATGATATCAATGCGAGAAATGTGACAACCAACCCACGCTAAATGCCACAGTCGTGCGGATGCTCCTTCGTTGTTGACGTTCATCCATGCTCTGAGCGCGGTTTCCCCAGTCTAAGCGTTCGTGGTATACCCATACTCCTAAACTCTCCCTCTTGTGCGCCGAAACCCAGGGTATACCCACGCTCATTACGGTTCCTGCCCGAATGTTGTATGCATTGCATCCCAAATATGTCTATAACCCATCTACTACAAAAAAATGAAAATCGTTGCGTTGAATAATGCGACGGCGAAATCTTCTATGCAACTGCTGATGCCGGTCGCTCGTAAGGCGTGGACGGTTGAGGCGGGGAGGGTACTGTTGCTGTTCGCTCGGTTTCCTCTGGCTCGCGCTTCATGCTCTTGATGCTTCCGGTCGCGCTCCGTTGGGACATCCTGTCAGGACTCCTCACACCCTGGCTCCGTGCCTCGTGTTCCGATCGTGATGGGCCTGCTGCAGCCTCTTCTTCCCGCCTCCTCTGGTGGTAAGCCTCCATATAGCTAGGTCCCTCCAACTCTCGCTTGATGATCGACTGCATCCCTGGTACGGGTGCTGTCCGGGCACCGCTGATCAAATCCTCTTCTGACTGTGGTTGAATCTGGGGAAGAGGTTGACCTAGCTGAGGGGGAACACTCGACCGGGATCGAGGGTCTGCGCGTCTGCGACTGAATGAGCTATTCCTCCTCCTTCGTCCACCTGCACTCGAGCCACTGTCGGTCCGCTGGTGACCGTAGTGCATCGGTGGTCCTTGAGGCATTGGTGGGGGCACCTGGTGCAGCTGCGGCGGCATCGGCGGTGGTTGCGGCATCAACTGAGGGGCGTTGGCGGGTGTGAAGCCATGCGGGGCAGAGGCAGGTACAACGGGCACTTGCGATGGCGAGCTCATGCCTGTACCGGTTGCAGATGGGTGAAGCTGAAACACCGGCGCATTTGCACGCGCGCTCATCTCCTGCTCTCCCAGCTGCCAATGCATCGATTCGGCGGACCGCCAGGGAATGCCCATCTCTGTAGCAACCTTCTGCCACATTTGGTCCTTGAATCTAACACAAGAGTCAGTATTGATTTTTTTTGGGGTGTATTGCGCAGAAACGCGTCGCGTGCGAGTGCGAGAATGTGCTGGAATACATCTGAAACCAAAGATGTGGGCTCAAAACGAAGGAACAGATGACCGAAATGAAGCAGTCTGGGCATTCCGAGTTGTCGAGTGGTACATACCGTGCGTAAAGTCTTGCGAGTTTGTTTTTCTTCTCTTCGTCCCAAATGGCTCGCTTCTCGAGGTAGTTCTGATACCGTAATCGGCAGGAAATGGAGCTTCTTCCTGGTAGTCGTTTCGCAATGTCGTCCCACTTCATTCCTTGACCCCGCAGCTCAATAGTCAGGTTGTCCTCCTCTGGTGTCCATTTGGACTGCTTCTTGGCTGGACTTTCGTCGGGTAGAGGGGTTTGAGAAGCTTGTCGTTTTAGCGTTGAAGGGGGAGAATGGTTAGTATTTTGCGTGTGTCGAGGCGGTGAAGGTCCATGCGGGCCGGAGTAGAGAGGGCGAAAATGCGGGAGCGGGGCAGGTTCAGCATGTCGATGAAGTTCTGAGATTGCGGGTAGAACAGGTCCTCCTAGCATTGGTCCGGGTACTTGGGGTGCTGATGTCGGTGCCTGGGTGTAAGCGGACATTGGTGCATAGTGCGGGGGTCCTGGGTATGCGGGTGCTCCAGAAGCGTAGGCAGGCGACGCTCTTTGTGAGGGGGACTGTGTGTATGCTGAAGGCGCGGTTGTGTATCCTCTGGTCGCTCCTGTCGAGTAGGATGCATTTGATATGGAGCTCTTCTTGCTCGCAGGAGACTCTGAGCCCCGAGCGCGAGGCTCGAGGAGGAGGTTGATATCCAGGATGAAGGTGAGGGGACTAGCCTATTGCCAGCCCATGTATCGATGAAAGTTCCCGAATAACCTGAGTCCTCCGAAAGCTGAACTTGTTGAGATCGTGTAAGATCAGTCAGTAGTCGCGACGTGGGGATAGGCGGCTGTAAAGTAAGAAGTGGAGCAGACAGATGGCTATCTGTAGGTTGGACGTCTACCGGTCAGGTTGGGCGTTATGTCGTAAGGTTGATGTCCAAGGTAGCCTTGAAGATGATGACAGGTACCAAAGTAAACGGTACGACGATCAGCCCAGGCGTGGCGTTGGGCAGAGGCAAGGCAGAAAGTGGTGATGCGTCGAGGTACAGTGACTGTTGATGTGCAGATGAAGTTGGTAAACAACAACAAGGAGGCGATACGTGATATGGGTAGCTGTGCAGGAGAGTGGAACAGGAGAGGACAGTGGTAGGATGATGAGGTTCGGATAGACTAAATGTGCCGACGATGACCCAAGTAGCCAGTTGGGAGGTACTTTGGATGATTAACGCTCTAAGTGGTCGATCGACTCGAGCTATTTGGGCTATGGGCCGGGGCTTTCTGAGCAGGGGGTGAAACAGGCCAACCACTCGGTCTGATGAATGACGGGCGTGCTTAGCCACTGACTTTTCAGGTCGAGAAGGTAGGAAGCGTAGCGTAGGGGAGCAGTGGATACGGGCTGGTAAGAGCAAAGTAGGGTCTGAGAGGGACTTGGAACATGGATGCGTGAATAGAGAGGCTTAGCGTGCGACTGTAATACTAATAGCAGGCATCCCTTGAGGCCCTGGCTGGCGCCGCCTCATGGTCCGCGGTAGGGATCCGGGGGCTTGGGATCAGGATGTACCCTTTGCGTTTCTGACTTGACACCATTACTTTCGCGCTTAACGCTTTCTCGACTCGTGCTGGCGGCGCGCCACATTAACGACCCACAGACCACAGCATTACCACAGCTGATCGATCTAAGGAAGCATGTCTGCCGGAGATTTTAGCGAGACCAAAAAGAAATGGACAGGCCAAATTGCAAGCGTTAGCTTGACACAAAAAGCACGACACCCGTTCTTGCGTGGTGAGGTACAGCGATGACGTGTCTTGCACTCGAGTAGTAGTGGGAGTAATAACAATAATAGTATTAGCCAACCTGCTCACCCTCGTGGACGTGGGAGACGACTCCGATGCATTGCGTTGATATTGGCTTTGCCGGCGTGATGTGCTGGGCCTCATTTGCTGCCCTCCTTTCCGTCAGGCCTCAATGCGCCGCCCAAAGACGGGGCTGCGGCTTTTGCAGCAGGGCCGCTGCGTTCACGATCGTCGACGAAGCGGCTGGAGCGTGTTTCTGTCACTCGAGGCAGCGAATCAAGGATAGTATTAAGCGGTGAACAGTCTCAGGGATTCGCTGAGGGTTCGGAAGAGCACAAGCGCGATGACATGGAAGATCTGCAGCATGCTCGCCCTGCTCCGGCTATTTGACGCCAGAAGCGTCGCTACCGAAGCCTTGCGAACGGCTGACATCAATCAGGCGGTGCAGGTGGTGATGTGTTCACGCCAACGTCTTGACAACGTCGAAGACATGCTCCACAGGTGCAATTCCTGCATTCATGGCTCCGGTCAAGTACCCCACTGTGGGCGGCGATCTAGCAGTATCGACGCATGCCCAAGAGGAGCGGTGAACTGCGGTGAACTGCGGTGAACTGCCGGCGGCCGTGGGCGTGACGTCTAGCTTTGCCGCCTAACTGTTCATAGTGTTCAAGGCGCGCCATAACACGATGCTGGCTCGCTGGTGTTTATGCGACTGATGGAGACGCCGGGTGGTAGCGTCGGCCTCATCCGCAACGAGACGTGTTTTTGTGCGCCCCTCGCCCACGTGAGACGCGGCGCTGTATCGCGCTGCGGCGGTGCTGATGCTGCTGTGTTGTCTCGTGTTGGAGAGCCACGTTGTTGAAGCTACGAGAAGGCGCCGCTATGCCATGTCACGTTGCTGCCGACGTTGCGTTGTGCGCCATGGGCGGCAGCGCTCGCGGGTGCCGGATTGCATCACGGGACTAGGATTCGCGATGATGCGCATTAGGCGGTGAGAAGAGGCCGAACTGGACGGATGTTTTGGATGAGGTTGGATATAGTAGGTAGGCCCTTGGGCCAGTGGGAGCCGAGATGCAGGTGCATTAGCCATGAACCATCCCCGTGCGTTGTCCAACGCTAGGGCACGAGGCCTTTCGTCGGCGCCGCACGGCGTGGTTGAGTGATTGAAGGATTAAAGTACTCCCCACAGATGTCTTCGCAATCTACCTACGGCCGACGGCATGCGAACTGGACTTTCCACAATCCTGGTGAATGTCCTGCCGTACTGGACGACGCCTACTTGCAGGTGCCACAGCCTCCGACCTTTGCGTGTACGCAAATCTGCAAAGGCGCAGCACTCTATATTTAAAGAAGACTTGCATTGCATACAAAGAGCGGTGAAGTCTGTTCACTGTTGGAGGGAAATTCCGACTGAACAATGTCCACATCTTGTTGACGCTGGTGTGCAAGCGCTGGCTCGGAGGCGCCCGCGCGAACAGTGCCGGAACATGTCATTGAATCACCCTGTCTTGGCTGAAGATCGGATGGTTTCGCATCCTTCGTACGAGGCCTCACCTCGACGAAGATCATCATAAATAAACCGCCCACGCGTGAACGACGCCAGCGCACACAGCGTGGGGTTGTATCTCGACTTCCCACGCACTTGTGTGATGTAAGTGAGCGCGTGGGGTAGGCGTGGGTGGTGGGCGTTCATGATGGGTTCTGAGACATTCACTGTGGTTGAAAACCATGGCCTTGGCATCGCTTAGCATACTCGATACAGCCATGCTCCAATGCTTTTCCTCGGCCCTACACCACTCGTAACCTATCCCGCATACAGAACGGGTCACCTGTCAACGGTACACCAACAACACCAGCAACAACTCATACCACATTCATCCTCCTACATTACCCCTCTAGTCTCGACAGATACCTCGGCTTGTCGACATGTCACTCCAGAGTGCGGCAGACGTGCCGCTCCTCATTAGCTCCCCAAATTCGTCCTCGGAGCGCCGTATTTCTCCGTCTTGGAGCATTGCTCAACTCAAGGCACGCCTCGAGCCCATCACCGGTGTCCCCGCAAGCAGTCAACAGTTGTCGCTGCGCGTTGGCTCTCAGGATGCCGTCGCTCTCATCGCTCCGGATGAGGAACAGACGCGTCTTGCTGCCTTCCCGCTGCAACCGTATGCGGAGATAACCGTAAGTGCTTCTCCTGCTTTCTCATTGAACAGTCGCCGCAGCCCTGTCCTTGACCAGTCTACCATGCGGTCCTCTCGCGAGCTGCCACATCTCTCCAACCCCGGCTCGCTTCTCTACTTCCTTGTATCTTCTACTCTACACCCAAGCTTAGCAGTTTCATGCGTCCTGCCTCCCATCTTCCCCATTCGTTGTCAAGGCCGACATTGAGGCTGTGGACTTTAATCAGGTCATGCCTGCATATTTGCATGCCCCGCAGTGCCCCTCCTCGACTCTACAACCCAGTTATGTCAGCCTTGGTGGAGCGATCCGCGCGGAAGCCATGCTTTGTTCCACCTGCAATTACCACATCGTCTTGAAGCGCTGAGCTCCCTTTGGTACTCGGCATCGAGTACCGGTCATTTAAACTTTCAATCTGCTGAACAACCTTTCTCTGTTGTTTGCCATTTCTTTTTCGGCGGTTCGGCCTTATTCGACGCCTCTCTTGGCTTCATGATTCATCCCATGTACCGGCTCCTAGCTAGAGCAATCTCAACTGGCGTCTCCGAGCAAATGAATCCTCTCAGACATGCTCCCGTGCTGACAAGGCAAATTTAGGTCGTTGACACACGTCCTCCCGCTGCACGAACTGACTTTACCGATCTGTCGTCCGTCGAGAAGTACGAAATGCCTGCTGCAGAGTACGAGCATCGGACCGATAGTGTTCTTGCATGGAAGAAGGCGCAGAAACTGGGTCGTTTCGACCCAGATGCTCCTAGTATTGAGCAGCAGAAGATCCGCGCCTCAGAGCGGGAAGTAGAAGAAAGAGGTAAGCCGCATGATTTCCCGCATGTCCCACCTCACCGTTGAGCCGTACGCTGTGGCAATGGATATGCTGGAACCCGCAGGACAGCCTTGTAAAGATCCATGCTGTTCAAGTGTACAAACCGGAGGTGCTTCAAACACTTCCCAAAACGGACGGCTGCATACCATCCAACGCCACTCAACACTCGCCTCACCATAGCAGGATCCATCGTGTCTCAGCCTGTCATGATCATGGTCCAACGAGGAAACGTGCGCGACAGGCAGCCAATCTCCCATACCAATTGTCGTCTTACCAAGCCCGTCATACATGATTACCTCTTCAAGCACGCCCTGCGTCCAATCCTTGGCCCAGACCTTCGTAGCGGGATGCCATGGCGTTTGAAGATTCATCCATTAAGTACATGTACAAGATGAGATTTACCACTTGGAAATTGCTTACTACTATTACCGTCGGTCGTATCCAACGCTCTTATCGCCCCCGCTAGTTACCCGTTCTGGCAGGGACCAGGCTGCGGGAAAGGAAGTCGCCGAAACTCAAAACCCCCAAAGTGATCGTCGGTCCCTTTGCCACCAGCCTCATTCTCCAGCTTCATTCGTCCGTAACCAGCGACAAATTCATCTCACCTCCAAATACACTTTCCAACTACGACGACCATCATCTTGTTTCCCCATGTTGCAAATCTTGGTCTCGCCTCTGTTAGGCCCCGAGATCGACAATGCTGTTTTAGAAGCGGGCCGCGCCATCCGAAATGCGATGGCTCTAAACCATAGTCATCACTCCGCATGCTATCACTCGCCGCTTCCCATGTCATCATACTCATGGTTTACATGTACGAAATTTGGTTGACGCGACGCGACGATCCAACGCCGCACCACAGACACATACGCTCGATTATTCTCGCCTCAAGGAACGCCTAGGGACCATGTTGGGCATATCTGCATCCATTTTCAAGCATCAGGCCGCTTCCCCGCGTGAGCCTCTACTGCGCTGCCGCCACATCTCAGAGAGCGGGCGCTTGGGGAGAGGTTGGGTCAGATGTGATCGGTGTGCGTGAGGGTGCGCAACTGTGTCGTCCCGGCATACGCGATCCCAGTTACCAACCTGCCGCTGCCGCCGGGAGTCGGGACGTTCTGTCGACTCGCCTTTCAGTGCCGCTTCGGACGTTGTTTTCTCTTGCTTTTTCCTCGTGTCGCCTTGGTGAACCCGATGGATTGACAGCCAGCCAGCCAGCCAGTCAGCCGACAAGCCATGGGATCAACAGCGATTATTGTTGGGCTCCACCGAACGACCACGTTCTGCGGACCTCGTACGATGGTCTAACCTTATCCAAACATAATCTTCCCCCCCTTCCAAAATGAACCTTGATCCTTCCTGCCCACTCATCAACTGCGGAATTCACTTGTAGACTTTTTTTTTTCTTTCTCAAAAGCCTGTTTAAGCGAACTCTACTAACTCTGGTCCAACTTAGGTCTTTCTCTAAACTGCCGTGTCCGCCTCCTGCCCGAATCAGATGCTCGTCGCGGGACGATATCCTATATTGGACTTGTGCCTGAGATTCCCGGGATTGGCGTATGGATCGGCGTTAGGCTTGACGAGCCGACTGGTAAGAACGATGGGAGTGTCAAGGGTAAGCGATACTTTGAGTGCGGTGCCAACTGTGGTGTCTTTGTTAGGCCGGAGCGGTGTGAGGCTGGGGATTTCCCTGCGCTGAATGAGTTTGGGGATGATGAGGATTTGGAGGAACTTTGAAGAAAGGGGGAAGCGTGGGTGACACGATGGTAGGTAGGATGGATACTGTCTTGCTAGACAGGTAGGCAGGTAGGTAGGTAAGTAGGTAGTCTATCTGTTTAGGTCAGCCTGAGCAGGCGTGCCATAGGGGGGATTCGCAAGGTGCACATCAAGATACAATGAAAAAGACTCGATGATGAAAACGAACCTCCTTTCAGGGGTTACAATTATTGTTGTACTACTACTACTACTACTACTACTACTAAAGTTTTATCTAGATTACTTGCTTGCATCAGAAACTACACAATAACGATAATAAGATGAGAAGAAAAAAAGAAGACGACTCGCAAAGATTCAATGGGAAAACATTCTAACCTAACAATGCTTACCTACTACATACCTCCCCAGATGATCATCTATGACAAAAATTGGATTCGTTTGTTCATTCATCACTACGAATTTGCTCACTCATAACAATGCATGCATCGTTATAATCTAAAAGAGAATCTTCCTCTACGTCTCACAGCCGTCTCTATGCCTCATACGCTTTTTTCTTCTTCTTTACACTCACACTGCCTTCCTCCACTGGTCACTACTTACTGCTTTCAATACCCATTCGCCCCCAACCACTCCCTAACCACCCCACCATCCCTCTCCGCATAACTAGCATAACTCCTTATCGTATCATCCACAACATCCAACCCCTTATTATATCCCCTAGTATCCTTATCCTTGAAGAACTGCTGAATATCATCCGCAGTCTTCACATCCGTAAACTTGTTCAAACCAAACCTCAAAAACCTCTCCAGCACAACAGGGTTACCAGCGAGTGCAGGATGAACTTTAGTGTCCCAGTTTTCTTTGACATAGTTCCACACCTCTGGTCGTACTTTGGAGTTGTTGGCAAGAGCAATCGTCGAAGAGTGCTTGTCTTGCATGGCCACCTTATCCGAGAAGACAAAGTCCATGACCTGCTTTGCAAGGTCGGGCGTCTGTACGCGGCCGAGAGAGCCGAGGCAGATTTCCTTGCCGTCGATTGATGTTGTGTTGAGGTATTCATTCATGACAGCCTTCAGCGCCGACTCACCGCGGTTTTTAATCGCTGTGGCGAAGACGGCCCGGCGAAGCGAAGGATGAATGGCCTTGTTGTCACCCTTCTCGATATAAGCGTCAAATCGCTTCAACGCTTCCTCGACGGTGGCCTTGTGGCCGACGATGCCAGCCGACAGAAGCAGACTGGCGCGCAGTTGACCAACAAGGTAGCTCTCTCCATCCTTGAACTCCCAGCCAACCTTCTCGACGGCCGGCGTGATGAGCTTGAGGTGGTACTTCCTCAGTCCCTCGCTGATATCTTCGCTGCCAGAGAACACACTGCGGACGTTGCCAATGTTGGTGAGGATCTGAGACCTAAGCGTGGGAGTACAGAGTCAGCATGTGCCTCACATATAGTTCGTATAGGGATAGTAACTGACCAAACCAAATAATCAGATTCGTCTTGGAAGCGCTCCGCCAGCGCGAGCAAGCCAGCTGTAGATCCATAGCCCGCGACCGCATTTGCATACGCATCACCAACGAGGCCGATCTTGTCTTGTACAGTGAGCTGATCGCGGTCCTCGCCGAGTTTCTTGAGGCGGTCGGCGGGGGAGTTGGTGCGGTAGAAGCCAGTGAGGGCCTTGTTAAGGAGGGAGAAACCATCCTTGACATCACGAATTGTGTCCTCCTTCTGTGTCATAGCAGCAGTCTTGTGAACCTCCGTGGTAGACGCAGAATCGCCCGTGTGAAGACCCAGAGGAATCCACCACGTTGTTTCATCCTCCTCAGGTTTGACATTACCAGCAAGCAAGAAGCGCTGCTGGCGCAGGCCAATCTGACCAGGTTCCTCAGCAACGGTGACGACTGGGAAGCCAATTCTCCGAACCCAGAGGTCCATGAAGGTGTTTACGTTCTGACCAGACGCCTTGCTCAAGGCGGACCACAGGTCATTGGTCGTGGCATTAGAGTACTGGTGAGCCTTGAGATAGTCGGCTACACCTTGGAGGAAAACCTTCTCGCCGAGATGAGCGCTCAGCATGCGGATGACCGAGGAGCCCTTGAGGTAGGAGATGTGGTCAAAGATCTGGTCGACCTCGAGACCGTCGTATACGGGTACTTCGATGGGATGCGAGGTTCGGAGTGCGTCGAGGGCGAAGGCTTGTTGTACGGAATCAGTCTAGAAGACATGGTCAGCGGGCTGTTAGAGCAGATACCTCGAGATTTATGACGCACAACAAACTGTCCCCATACGTTCCATTCTGGGTAGAGATGGTCAATGGCAAGCCATCCAACCCATGTCGCGAAACCCTCGTTGAGCCAAAGCTCACTCCACCAATCCATGGTAACGAGGTTACCGAACCATTGGTGGGCAAGTTCGTGAGCTACAACGTAGGCAACCCTGTTGCGGTAGCTATCGGCAGAGGTCGCAGGGTCGAAGAGCACTGCAGTAGTTCTGTAGGTAATGAGACCCCAGTTCTCCATGGCTCCATGGGAAAACTCATGGACAGCCAGCAAATCAACCTTGGGCAGCGGGTAATCGATCTGGAAGACCTCGGAGAAGTAATCCACAATCTTGTGGCAGTTGTCCAAAGCAAAGCGTCCCTGCTCCTTCAGACCACGGGTAGTGTAAACCCTGACAGGAATGTTCTTGCCATTGTACTTGCGCTCGGTGTGCGCCTCGACGTATTCAAAGTCACCAATAGCCCACGCCAGGAGGTAGGTAGACATGATAGGTGATCGCTCGAAGACAACTGTGTGGAAACCATCCCTCTTGCTAGGCTTAATCTCCTTCTCCGGCATGTTGCTGAGCGCGACCTGGTCCTTGGGCACTTCGAGTTCGACGTCAAAGGTAGCTTTCAGATTCGGTTCGTCGAAGCAAGGGAAAGCACGGCGAGCGTCGCAGGCTTCGAATTGGGTGCTAAACATGTAGTGGAACTCGTCGTCCTTTGCAACGGAAGCCGGGACGTCGCCTTTGGGCTTGTACTTGGAGCGGTAGAAGCCGGCCATGATGTTGTTGACGAAGCCGGAGAAGTTGATGGAGAGTTGGGCCTCGCCGGTGTAGGTGATGTTCTCACCAAAGTCGAGCGTGACTTGTTGTCTCTTCTCATCGTAGGATATGTCCTTTGCTGAGAATGTCTTGTCACCGGCCTTTAGCTCAGCACTTTGGAGCTTGAGCTGATGTGCGTTGAGGACTAGGGTGTTGAAGCCGTCGTCCTTTGTGATCTTGGTCGTGATGTCGACAGTGCCCTTGTAGCCAAAGTTGCCGCCGAATTCGAGGTCATGGAGGGAGAGGGCATAGTGGGAGGGTTTGGCCCTGGAAGATATCAGCTATCGGCCTGCAATAGAGTTGACACGACTGACCACGCGGGAAGAACATCGCGATCTGAAGCCATGTTGACGAAGCTGCTAGTGACTTCGCTTTGACAAAACCTCTTCTGTATGCCAAAGGTGTTTGTGGTAGCTACCGCAAACCTCGGTCTGAGACGTAATTGTGTACGTGGGGCAGATCCAGTCTCTCTAGCTGCAGAAGAGAAGCTTCTAGAGCGGATGGAGTGGGTCGGGGTGGTGTTTAAGAGACGCGTCGGCGTACTTGTCTTCACTCTGCTACGAGTCAATTGTCGAGAGCAGAGTCTCGCGGAAGCGGATAGAGCAGCCAGGATGAAGGCGCAAGGAGAGCGGGGCTAGAGCACAGCAGCAAAAGGAGGGGAAGTGTGCAATCAATTGGTACTGGGTGAGACGATGCGTCTGCATGTGTGTAGGCTTAGAGGGGAAGGTGCGCGTGCGGCAAGCCGAACTGCCCCACCTAGGTAGCCATCCCTGCTTCTAGGGTTTAGCGCGGGGTCTTTTACATGTCTCTATGCTGGATTGACATATCATAACTGAGATATCATAGTTGAAATACCATGGCCTGAAGAGCTGTCATCTTGGAGAGGCAGCCATCTCGAAAGCCTTATGCCATTGACGCCATGCAAATGCTCCAATTCACGCCCTCGATGCAGACACTTCCAATCCCAACCCATCACAAGACCAGAGAATGGTATTCGCAAGTCTCTCAGCCATCTTTCATACATGCTCTCCCCCTTCTCAGCCCTGTCTGCCTAAATCCGGATCAAGACATCCAAACACTGCACCCGCCACTCCTTCTTCCCCAACAACCCCTTGACCCACTCATAACTCTGTCCTTCGCTCCCACTCGCCTGTCCCAAGCCAACCCTCCCCTTGACCCCCTCCACGGCCGCGCCCACCCCAGCCTTGACCGTCGCATTCACCGCCTGCGCCAACATGCCAGCGCTTTCCGCCACAGTCCCATTCAGCGCCAGCTCCGCACTATCCGACAACGGCGCATCGAACCACGGTGTGTGAAAGTCGAAGAGCGCGACGACGAGGATGAAGAGGAGGAGGCTGCAGTACACGCACGGTCGGTTTAACAAGTATGTGGCCGAGATGAAGAGGACGAGGTAGACGGGGGAGGCGTGCGTTCGTAGTCTATGCATACTCTTGTTAGAATGCCATGCCATACGATGCGCCGGACATGGGTGAGGGCTCACAAGAAGAAGAGAACTGGAATCCAGCTCCGCAGGCAGAACATGGTCGTGTGTCGTTCCCTAATCGTGCGCCCGGTCGTGTGAGCGCGCACTTTTCGGCGATAACAACAAGTTGAGGCTGATTCTGAGGGGACAGCTTCAAAGTGCGGACGAATGCGACAATTGTTTAGAGAAAAAAAAAAGTAGGTTGGTGAATAGGAAGCAGCGAACGGATGGAGAATGAACAAATGCGTTTGTATGGTTTTGGGATAAGGAAAAGGTTGAGGGTTGCTGACTGCCGGCAGCGAAGGTAGTCCGGAGTTACTGGCGGCCGCCGATATTAGCGTCTTTTGATTGGCCGCTCCCTTCACCTGCGCACGAGGCTGAGCGTCAAGCACCCCGAGGCTGCATCCGGTGGCGCATCCATGCATGCAGACTGCTTCTCACGTGTCTCAGCCTTATCGGGCGCTTCACTCAATGTAGCACATATTCATTTCTTACAAGGTATCTTCCTACATGCGCACCGCCATTCGCGTTACGACGCCTAGCTTACACAGCTAGTCGACTGTCATATCCCAACCAACCCTTCCTCCCTAGAATGCCTCCAGATGCCAAAACGCCCACTTAACACAGATATGCCGATATACGAAGCAATGGGGCCGAACTCGGCCACCAGCAGCAGAAAGAGAGCAGCGTCCTTGCGCGCGGGGGTCTATACGGGCAGGTTGAACTTCTTGCCTTGGATGACCCTAAACTGCGTTAGCATGCCGACCAAAGCCTCAGTGTACCCTCCAAGACTTACTTTGTGTAGTAAATGTAGAAGAAGTCAGAGTACAAAATAGTCTGGATGACGCCCGCAATCACTGCAATGGGATCGTAGAACTTGGGCACCTCACGAATGTAACGGTAGATCCAGTTGGGGATGTACAGAGCCCTGTAAGCACCCAGCGCAAAGAGGTAGTGCGTCGTAATTGTCTCCGCCTCACCCGTCCTCTGCAGCATGAACAGCTGCGGCAAGATGGCAACCGATTCTAGCCAGATAGAGAAAGCCCAGAGTATCTCCGTGAATGTGTATTTGTAGGGAAACAGTATCGCCAGCACTGCGCTCGCGCCCAGCAGGTATTGCACCTTGAACGTGTCTAGATTTGGGTCGTGTGTCGGCTTGTAGTCGTTGAGCATGAGGTAGACGGTGTAGGCCGAAGTGCTGATGAAGATGATCTTGAAGATGGTGTTGTAGAGCGACTTGGGTTCGTAGAAGGTCCAGAGGAGGTCGACGTAGCGCGTGAGGTAGACGACCAGGTAGAGGAATTGCGATTTGAACGATATACCAGATGCACTCTGCAGCGTGTCAATCGATACGGCGCATTACTTGTGCACGGGGAATCAACATACACTCGACACCTTCATCTTGTGCAGCAGAATCAGGATGGATAGCAGGTGGGATAAATCCCCTAGACCGTATTAGCATTTCCATCCGTACGCACGAGCATTGTCGTGGGCAAGCTTACCCAGCAGTCGGAAGAGGTTCATCATCGCGGGCAATGGGTCGCGACTCGAGGCGTGGTGAAGGGTTGTGTGTTGGTGTGCCTGGCATAAAAAGACACGTTCCGACTGCTGCATCACGTAGGGATGGAGCTGCGCATCCTTGCATGCCAAGACCCGCCCCTGTCGCTTCACGTCATCCCGATCGCCGCTACCCCCCGTAGCACATCCGCAGTCGTTCGCGCTGCCCATCCACTCGACGTTCCGTATACATTTGAGAACACTCTATTATGGCCCATCTGCTTGGTTGGAAAGACATCCTTAGGCCAATCCGCGATGGATACCGCCATCTCTTTCCTAGCCCCGACACTGGGCCAACGCCTGAAGAGCGACGCAGACAGCGCCAAGTAGATCGTCTGAAGGGCTTCGCCTACTTCGATACATTCGACCAGTTGGAGTCGTGGAAGGAAGACGATTCTGATCCGCTGCAAAGAGCCAACACGCCGCTGCTACGCGGGACCGACGGCATTGAGAGGGACGGCGTTGTCAAAGTCCCCGTTCTATTAATCCATGACTACTCTGGCAATTACCATGACTACGAAAGCGTCAACGCTGTTGATGTGGACAGAGAGTTTTATTCGTGTGAATACCTCCAGTTTGTTGATACCTTCATTTACTTCTCGCATAAGTTGGCTTGCGTTCCGCCGCCTACATGGATCAATTTGCTTCATAGAAATGGCGTCGAGGTGCTTGGAACGCTGTTGATTGAGCCGCAGACTGAGGGTTCGGAACGTTTGTTACAGCATACGTTTGACCAAGCCGGAGAGATGCACTTCCCCATGGCGAAGAAACTAGCTAGCATCGCGACGCACTTTGGCTTCGATGGCTGGCTAGTCAACATCGAGAAGCCGTTTCCAAGCGAAGCGTGGAGTGCAAAGCTTCTCGAAGCTTTCCTGCTCCAGTTGAAAGCCAACTTAGGAGTCGGTCTTGACCCCAAGTCAGCTGGCAAGCGGCTCATATGGTAACATCCTCTCATTCAGTACCACCCTGACTAAAGCGTGACTTAACTTAGGTACGACGCCCTCACCACCTCCAACAAAATCTCCTACCAGAACCAAGTCAACAACTCCAACATGGACTTTGCCTGTGCATGCAGCAACATACTCACAAACTATTGCTGGAAAGATATTGACGTCTCCGAATCAATAAAGTGGTGCTTGTACAGCAGATTCCTACCCAAGGGAAACATCTACTTCGGTGTGGATGTCTGGGCACAAAACAAGTCTGATTTCAGGCATCCGCGCGTTACATGGCCAGAGGTTGGAGGTGGCGGTACCAATACCGGGATGGCTGTGAGAAAAATGGCCGACTCTGGCTTGCCAGTAGGTATTTTTGCGCCTGCGTGGTCGTTTGAACATTTTCCAGATCATGGACGCCATCTCGAACGTGCTGTCTGGGAAGGTGAGTCGCTGCCAGACAACATCCAGTGTGATTGCGGAGATTGCGAGTTTCGGCATCCACTGAACAGAGAGTGGCCCATTTTGCGTACGGCGAAGGAGCGCGTGGCGGGATCAGAGCACTTATTCTATACGGATTTTAGTCGTGCTTTCGGAACATATCGAGAGAAGGCAAACGACAGTTTTGATGGCCACGACATACACGCACAGCTCGGCCAGCAATCCGTACTGCCTCGTCCAGCCATTCTCGCACGTGGTTCGGGAGCCGTCACACTCTCACCCCGCATCGAAAATGAACAAAATAGCCACATCCTAGTAAAAACCGCCACACAGAACCGCCCAACCGATTCGGAAACGATAGAAGAACACCTTCCCCTCTATAAACTTGACATGCCCGCAGACGGCTCCCTCCGTCTTTCCGTCGTACCAAGCCCCGCATCCCCATCCTACATAACCTCACAGACAAAAGATGCGATCATAAGCATCTACTTCAAAACCACACAAGGAACTCACTACCTCCCCTCACCTTTGTCCAGCGATCCACAACGATTAATCGACCAAGTACCCAATGCCCGTATCCGCGAACTAGGCGTCCACCTAAAAGGGCCTTGGGGCGCCCCAGTTGGCGAAACTGTACGAGTACTGGGCATTAGAGATATATGTATAACGCCCCGCTTCACGCTGCACCATATACCCGTCTTTGAAATTGTGGACCTCAAGCTGGTACAGTGTGGGCAAGAGCAAGACGAGGAAGACCATATAGTTCGATTAACCTGGAAGACTGAAGGAGCGAGTGGGAGCGAGTGGGTCGATAAAGGTAAATTTATGACTTATTGACGCATATTTGCTATGAGACATGGACTGACTTTGTATCTCAATCAATACAGGGATGGTGCTTAGTCATGTGACGGGGCCCATGGCGTGGTTTGTTGTTCGAGTGGACGGGGCGGTGGTAGGCAGGGTGTATGCGTTGGAGTGTATTTTGGACAAGAAGGTTGTGGAAGCACACGCTGGGCAGGAAGTGGAGGTTGAAGTCACAGGATTCGGTTTCGATGGGTACAAGCTTGCGGAGAAGAAGAGTATGCTGCACTTGTGATCGTTGTAGAGCAACACGATCAATGCGCGTCGCGTCGCTTTGGTGGTTGGGGCGAGAATGGGACTAGCGTGTCGACGACGTCATCGATGCTTGTACCTGTCGTTACAACCTTTCGGTCTGCTTTACATTGCTGTAATATTGCGCGCGTATAATGAGAGGTCTTGTTTATCGATTGGCGCAATTGGCAAAAGTCACATCACGAAGTTTGTATTCGTCACGACCATCGCCACGGATTGGGACATTTTTGCTTGCTCGGCAGCTTCACGCAGCAATTACCATGTCGGGTCCGGCGAAACGCAAAGCAGAAAAGGATATATCGCCGGTGAAAGCGAAGAAGACAAGTACAGAGACAAAAACAAAGACGGTAGTTCCTGCGTATCATCTCACCCCATCAAGACAGGATGAGTCTGGAGAGATTGTATGGCCCGCGAGAAAAGAGCAGATTGAACGCGCCCGGGAAATTATCAGAAACTGGTAAATTCATCTACATCCTACCACTAGAGACCTGTGCTAAACCATCAAAGCGCCTCAGCCCAGAAGCCAACCGTCATCCTCCCCGACAAGGATGCAGACGGACTCTCATCTGGCGCCATACTTCACCATACCCTCACAGCTCTAGGTCTACGACCTGATCTCATATCCGTATATTTCCCACCAAAAGGCTCGAACGTACATGATGATAGTACAAAGGAAGCTTTGACAAAACTATCTCCATCATACATCTTCATACTAGACCAAGGCAGCAGAAAAACGCCGCCAGTCGTCGACTTGCCGCATACATGCCTCGTCGTAGACCACCACTTTGCCGACGAAGGAGGATTTCCAAAAGGTAGCGATTACGTGACAGCTCACGACTGTCCACCCGTTGCGACTAGCGCGTTATTGACGTACACAATCTGCTTACCACTCCATCCGGATCTCAACGACAAAGTGTCTTGGTTGTGTGCACTAGGAACCCACGGCGACCTGGGTAGCAGCATAAAATGGGAACCCCCTTTCCCCGACCTAACCGCGACCTTCAAATCCCATTCCAAGAAATCCATCAACGACGCCGTAGCCTTAGTCAACGCACCACGGCGGTCGGCAGCCTACAACGTGCAGGATGCCTGGGATGCCGTCATATCTGCCACCAATCCCTTGGAAATTGCAAAGGATGAAAAGCTTCACACCGCTTCCCTGGAAGTACGCCGTGAGACGGAGCGATGCACACATACGCCCCCCAAATTCTCAGCCGACGCTACAATCGCCGTTCTCACGATATCTTCTGCCGCGCAGATTCATCCTGTCATCGCTACAAGATGGTCTGGTACGCTCAAGTCGAATAAACTGGAGGTTGTCATGTGCGCGAATGAAGGCTATCTTGCTGATAAAGTCAACTTTTCGTGTCGTGTTGCCAAGTGTGCGCGGGCGCGAGGAGGAGAGGACAAAGTCGACATCATCAGCAAGCTAGAGAGCATAGTTGCTGACAATTCTGAACTGAGAAGTAGGTTGGGTGAAAACTTCGCAAGAGGGCACAAAGAGGCTAGTGGGGGTATCGTGGGCAAGGGAGAGTGGGAAGAGTTTAAGAAGTTGATGGGTATTGGAGAAGCGGCGAAGAAGAAGGCGGATGCTAAGAAAGAGAAGGACAAGCCTGCACAGAAGAATACCTTGGCGAATTATTTCGCGAAGAAAGACAAGGTAAAGGTAGAGGGTGCGTGAACATTGGGTCACGTTGTGGTGCCAGACGATTCCCTCATCTCTCTAGGAGAACCAGCATGTCGATGATTCTCTTGGATCTCGTTCTCGAGCCAAACGAACTTCGTCCCGGAAACTACGGCTGGGCATATTGATAGTTTGGAATAGTTGGTTACGAGAAAGCCTGCCAAACTGCGTCAGAAGTGGCCGTTCCTAGCGGAAGAGGCGTTACGGAAACCCGGTAGACTTTGCGCCGCATGTTTACCGCCAAGACGACGAATTAAATGGTATCCAATCTAATATAGTCAAGACTGGGTGTTGTGGAGATGCAATAGCCAAGTCAATGACGACCAGGCGCATATCCGCCTCTTTCCACCCGTTTCCCGTTGTAGCATCCGAGGCGAACAGAAGAAAAGATTACAACCGGGGCTTTGGAGCCTTTGGAGCCAACGATGGGTGTTTCTAGTGTCTCGATCACGTTTCGAATTAGAAGGGGTTACATTATTAGGCGGCTGTGCGCCCGAAATGCCGGTTGATCTGCATCGTCAAACAGGAACAACAAAAAAATAATCACCACAAGACAACTTCCAAAGTACAGTAGATCACAGTCCAAGGACACTTTTTTTTGAGATCAAGTGCAATTCAACTAGCTTTCACAAAAAAAAGGAATCCTCACAGTGCCATAGCTAACAACCTCACGATCCAAACACTGAAAAAAAAAGAAAAAATGCCGCTCTGGAGCTGCCTTACCAATGTCCATTTCGTCACAGTCATGATTCTCCCACTTTCGTCACTTATATAAATTGCACCCAAGGAAACCAAGCTTTCTTGGCTACTGCCGAGTAGCGCGTGCTCGTCAGCACTCAATCTGCACGCAACTCGCCCATTCGCCAAGGAGTTTACATTGCATGGCTTCAGGTTGTTCCTCATTGGGCACGGCACTGATATCTGGGGGGGCCGGCTGTCACATGGCTTGGTGCTTGTGGAGTGTCGGGGATGTATGCAGTGGTACCCTGTCTATATGAAGCGGATAGATTGTTTTCGTGGTCATTAGGATGGGATACTAAGTTGGAGGGCTGGGATACATAGAAGGTGTATATATATATATATATATGTATACACTGGGCAGTGCTGGAGTTTGACAAAAAGAAGATTCGATACCCCATTCACCTTGTTCGCATCCATCTCATCAGCTCCCTTCAAGATGAAGTACGCAACTGTTCTCCTCGCCGCCGCGGCGACCGTCTCTGCCCACTCGACCTGGCAGGAACTCTGGGTCGGCACCGAAGACAAAGCTGGAACCTGTGTGCGAACTGTCAAGGACAACAGCCCGGTCACTAGTCTGACATCGTCTGATATGTTCTGCGGTCGTGGTCCCGCTGCTTCGTCTGGAGTCTGTGAAGTCGCAGGTACGCTATCCTCTTTCCCACCTTCTTATTTCCCCAGCCTTCTCCCCCGTTTTATTTCCACAACGAAAGTTGTCCATGATACTAACTTGTCATGTGACTCACAGCCGGCGGTTCCCTGACTGTGGAAATGCACGCACAACCCAACTCGCGCTCCTGCTCCCAACCCGCCATCGGCGGCAACCACTACGGCCCCGTCCTGATCTACATGGCCAAAGTAGCCGACGCGAAGACCGCCACGTCAGGATCCTTCTTCAAGGTTGCCGAGGACGGATACACGGGTACAACAGCCTCGTGGGGCACCGAGATCCTCAATGCAAACTGCGGAAAGCGCGCCTTCACCGTGCCCAAGAACATTGCGAGTGGAGATTATCTGGTCAGGGCTGAGGCTATTGCTCTGCATGCTGGTGCGAATAACCCGCAGCCGTATGTCAGTTGCTTCCAGGTCAAGGTCACGGGTGGTGGCAGTGCGACGCCCGCGGGTGTTAGCTTTCCGGGCGGGTACAAGACGAGTGATCCCATCTTTACAAAGGCCATTTACGACTCGAGCTTCAAGTATGTCAGCCCTGGACCGGCTGTCTACTCTGGTTAAGAGTGCGCCTGGCTGGTGAGGGCGAGGATTGGTGGGGGTGACGGCTGGGTATTATGGGGGAACTTCATTGTAAATAGTTGTTATCAAGCTTTGAATATTAGTAGGAACAATCTAACCTATATGTTGGCACCCAAGTATACCTCGGAAGATACAGCACAGCGTCCTGTACAAACAACACTCGTCCCTGTCTAGTGTACGCTAATAGAGCCCTTGTGATGATCCGTCATGTTTTCCAATAACAATCCCAACACCCGGACTCTCCACTCGTCACGCATACCGCAGATGTCTTTTCCTCGGGAGGGAAGATGCGTAGAGAAGAGATTGCGTTGTGTAAGCAGATCGGACAAGGAAAGACATCGATAGCCCCCACGACAGGAAACAAACTTAGATAACACCATGATACGTGGAAGTGCCTATGATTGTTATCGAACGTGAAGCAACATATCTCGTGACACGTGAAGAGGCACCTCAGGCCCCCCCAACCTATTCATCTCTAAAGATCCACTTCCCACCCCTTCGATGCGCTTCCAACCAGCGCTCTTGCACGATTGCTTTATCCTGCTCCTTGGCACGCTCCCTATCCTCCTGCTGTTCCTGCGTGGTCGGGAAGTCGACTCTCCAGAAGCCCGGCGGTGTTCTTCGTCGCTCATACGCCTCACGATGCTTGCCCGACTCCTTGGCCAATTTTTTTGTCCGGGCTTGCAGGACAAGCTCTTGTCGTTCTTCAGACGACATCTGCGTAAGCTGCATGGTGCTGTATGCATCGCCAAGGTAATCCTCGAGCAGTTCCTCCTCTTGCGACGAGCTAAGCGGTGCTTGGACCTGGGCAAAAGTTCGGAAGGTGGAGCCACAGCATTGCGGGTTGGTGCAGCCAGGGAGGCACATGCGATCTCCTCGCTTGCGTACAGTCTCTGAGAATGCGTAGCTGTAGCCTTGGTTGTATTCTGGGTTTGGCTTGAAGTCCTTGACGCTAAGCGCGCTCACTGGTTTATCGCGGAGACATTGCTCTTTCTCTTTTGGTGGCGGTACGCGGTTCCTTCGTGCACTGGTACGCGTCTCAGGAGCTCTCATAGTCCATACAGGACCTTCTGGCGTCAAATCTTCGCGAGGCGTCGTGCGTGTTTTCGACTTTGAGTTACGTGATGCTCTACTGCTGGAGGGTGTATAGGTGGGCCGTGACGAGCTTGCGGGCGGGGTTGCCACTTGCTCAGTCTTGATTTTCACCGATCCTGACTTGGGTGTCTTCGGTGAAGTCTTGTCTGGTGTCTGGAGGTTCTTCAATGCTTGTAATCTCTGGTTCATCTGCGCTCGAGCTGTGCTAGCCGGCAATCTCGACGAATCATCGCTCATCGGAGGCGGCGCTTCGCCCGACTCTGCCAAAAAGTTATGTTTGGCTTGATAGGCTTTGGCTTGTCTTGAGCGCTTGTTTGGAGGTTCCTCCGAAGCACTGCTCACTACGTTAGGATCGAGAGACCTCAACGCGGCATCCTCTACTTGAGTTGGTTCAACCGGTTCACTAATAGCCCTTGCTTGGATGCCTCCAACAGCTTGAAGATCACCCGTCTCACCGTAGAGACCAAGCAGATCAGTATTATCCAGGTTCTCATTCTTGATGGCCTGCGTTAGCGGTGTGCTGTCCGGCCTATGCTGATGAGGTGTTTTTGCAGCATCATCGTCATACAAGAGTCGCGTTCGAGGTTGGCGCGGCGTTTTGAGTCCATGGGGCGCAGGTTCGTCAAGATCCATCGTCTCAGTCCGAGCCATCATCAAGAAGGAAACTGGTGGACTACTCTGCGGCTCTTCCTTCACTCGATGAGGCTTTACAGGCGTGCCATCTGAGGAGTGATCTGCGTGTATCTCGAACCTTGATTTTGACGGCTGCTCTCGTTTTCGTTTTAGCGATCGCTCAGAAACGAACTGGGGAACGTCGTCATCATCTGCGTCCACGGCCGGTTCGAATATGCTTCTTGACTGTTCGGGTTCATCTACGGTTGTCTGACTAGAGCTTGGAATCGCTGAACGGTGGCCTTCGTGGTCAGATATTATGCGCTGAATGTGTGATGAGACACCGAGACCGATGCCATCATCATGTTGATGCTGATGTTGCTGGGCATCTTCCAGCCGAATGCTAGCCTTTGGAGTGATGGTCGTAGTCGGACTCTGGGCATCTTCTCCACCAGCCGTCGTCGAGGAGGCCAACCGATTTGTCGTTCCCACGACTGAACGCGGAAACAAAGTCGAAGCAGCAGGAGAAGAGCGATCCGGGTTGACGAGTGATCCAGGCGTGCGGACAGTGGCTGTAGAGCCTGGACTGGAGGGCATGTGAGGTCGGTCCTCAGGAAGAAGGTGAACAGCAGCCACGTTAGACTTGCCATCCTCTCTAGCCTCACTCTTTGCCTTTTGCTTTCCAAATTGTCTATCCGCGTACTCTTGCCATGCGCGCACGTTTTCTTTCATATCCTTGTTCTTCTGCATGACTGTAGCGTTCTTCCTCTCTAGGTACTTGATTTTATGAGACATATCACGGTACTTTTTGGTCAATTCGCTGAATCGCTCGGCAAGGTCATGATGCTCCTCTTCGGAGGCATTCGTTCTGGATTCCTTGGAAGTCTCATGGTCTGGCGACGGAGGAGCTGTGTCTTCAAGCGCCTTGAGTTGTTGCTTCAACTGTTCATTCTCGGCGACGAGGTGGCGATACTCTTCCTCGGACGCACCTGGGGCGCCAATCCTAGAAGCATCCTGGTAAGTCTGACCGGCAGATTCGAGCTGTTCCTTGAGTTGCGCATTCTCCTTGGCAAGATGGGCAGTTTTCAAAATCTCATCGTTTAGATGTTCGAATAGTATCTGCTGGTTCTCTTCCTCTACAACTGGTCAATACGCGTCGACAGAGTTGGATTGAAACGCGTACTCTGCTCTAACTCCTTCTTATGATTGTCTTCCCCTGATATACAGTTAGCGATTGCCAAGGCGTCGACTGGACATACGAACTCTTCTTCCACTCTTTCTCCAGATCAGGTTGAATGACCTCATCGTACACGCGTGTCCAGAGCCCTTTGTTCTGCTCTATCCAGGCTGAAAAGTCTGCCATGTCTGATCAGGTCGACAATGCATCAAGTGAGAGATGCGGCAAGGAGCGATTTGATGTTGGGATGGGTCGTGGCAGTGATTGTAGTGTTAGGCGGCAATGGCGAAAGTCACGCGCTAGTGGAACGCGAAGTCACGGGCTGACGCTCGGACATTGAGCGATAACGATAAGACACGATGTCCCGAGGCGCATTCGCCGCCGAGACGGCAGCCCTTCGCTAGGTACTATGAAGCGTGCGCGCGATGGGGAAGATGATGGCGAACATACAGCCAAAGTACAGCGGCTCCTGAATCCCGATCGACTATCAAAGCTCAGCGAAGAACTTCTCGTGCGCGTATTGTCATTCGTGCCAGTACCCTCGCTATTAGTATGCCAAAGGTTGGTACAGCCCTTTCCCCCGAGTCGCGACATGTGCTGACTGTAATAGGATATCGAAGAAGTTCAGCCGCCTTTCTGTCGACTCGGAACTATGGAAAGCCGCCTACTACCGCACATTCGTCCTGCCGAGAGCATCGCGCATCCCGGGCATCAAGGGCCCTGCGAACCCTAATCGGCTACACTACTCCTCCCGCCTGTCCAAATGGCTAGACGACGGCTATCTGGTCAAGGATGGTACACAAACCAACTGGAAGCAACAATATCGGCTACGGCATAATTGGACTCAGGGACAATGCGCCGTCAGCGAGATCGTGGTCGCCGAAAGGCCTCCAGATCCGCCGCTGCTAGTCATGATGTCCAACAGCATCATCTACGCCGCCGATTCCATGTCAGGCCTCCGAGCGTGGGATTCGAAGAATGACAGGGAATTGCTGGCGTCTTCCGAACTGTCTGGTGATACAGATACAGCTCGATTGCCAACCTCCATGGCTACAGACGCTAACAACACGGGCGACGATAAAGAACGAGTCGTTGTAGGCTTCGAGGATGGCTCCTTCTCCATATACGCTCTCAGAATAGACCAAAGGACGAGCCGAAAGACGTTCACAAATGTCTTTACCCATCCGCCATCGACCAACGGAATGCTATCGGCTCTCGCATACTCATCGCCTTACCTCGTCACCATGACTGAAGACCACCTACTCTCACTATACGCCTTCGAGAGCATACCAGGCACCACTGGCCTTTTAGACGCACCCAAACTCCTATACTCCCTACGCTCCAACACAGCATGGCCACCCGTGTCGCTCTCGCTACGAACAACAGCAACGAGCATGACCGCCGCCATCGCATACTCCTTGCCCACTTATCTATCTGGCTGGACAGTTGGCGTGCAAGAACTGATACTGTCACACAAGGGCGATTTGATCGAGTCACGATTAGCTACTGCGGCAGACGAGCACTCCTTCACACTTTCTGCATATCGCTCGACCTCGTCCGACAGGCTGCCGCCATCGCCTTCATCCAACAGCGCAAGAGAAGCGTCTGTACCGAGCGGGCCGAGTCGATCGAAACCCACCTCCATGTCGTATTCCCACCCGTATCTGCTTGTCGCACATCCCGACAACACATTATCGCTCTACCTCGTCCGGTCCACATCGCAGGCACTTTCGATAAGCTCCGGCAACCGTCTCTGGGGCCATACATCTTCAATATCTGGTGCTCATGTCGGCATGCGCGGCAAGGCCGTGTCCGTGAGTAGAAGAGGAGACGAGCTCCGGGTATGGGACTTGGAGGGTGGCATGACTTCTTCGGCAAACCGCAGGCGCTCAAGAAACGGACATTTGAGTGTTCGTGTGCAGCCTTCCAAAGCCAGTGAGGAGCATACACAGGATGATGAATCAGGGCAGCAGGTAGGCTTGCGATTCGCTCTAGACCAGGGGTTCGACGACTCTTCCGTTAGTCGCGGTTGGGTTGGTTTCGACGAGCAGAATGTGATTGTGCTGCGAGAAAAGAGCGAAGGTAGTCAAGCTTTGGTGGTATACGACTTTACGTGAGAAGCCGTATAGAACGCGAGGCGTTGTACGATATATACCCTCATAGTGTGCTGACTCCGGTGCTGATGTACATCCCCTTATTGCACACCGACCCTTCGACCTCATCTCGGCCTTTCAGAAGACGATGTACATATATAGTCGGACCTATGTGATTGGCGTGGACTTGGCGAGGCTGCTGTGACCACGGTACATATCCTGCCGAGCCGAAGTTGGTACGGGTCCTCACTCCGACTCCGACTCACCAAGACAATCAATAGTCCTGTGATAAGGAATCTCGCCCAGGCAATAATATAGTGAGAATGGAGATGTTGCCTCCAAGGCTACCGGGGCGTGGGGGGTATAGACCCTGTGGCGTTGGAATATCGTGACATCCTAACCTACAGGTTCATCTGGTTTCTGTAACATGCCAACCTCAGACAATCTTTTAACCAATCTACCTCCCGTACGACTGTTCGCAGGTCAGAATGTTTTGTGCAAGATAGGGTAGGAGCTCAACACACGGCATATCTATGTACAGCATATCCCACGGTCGCTGTGAAATTTAGCGTGGTCTTGTTGTGTTAAGCGTGCGTTCTTACCTCAGTACCATAGAGCATGTTCGATACCAACTCCCTAACGATAGACCGGAGATTATCATACAGGTTCTTCATTGTTTGTTCGAGGCCAAAGAATTCATTAATGAGGTCGATTCCAAATGGATCTGGTGAAGTGCGAGCTCCATGCTCCATATTGCAGGCAAACTTAAAGTCGTCAGGCGACATACGTTCACAGTGCCATGCCACTTTCTGCCACATCGCTCGGATCGCTTCCAAAACCAATACCATCTCCTTCGCATCAGGTTGTTCAGAGCAAGACATGCCCATGTTGTCTCCCAGAGTCATCAAGACGTTCACAAGATGGAGGCGTTGATCGTACTCAGTTTCTTGCATCAGGATAATAGTAGCATCGCTGAACAAGGTATCCTTCGCTCCACTGTAGTCTAAATGTTCGAGACTCCTATTGAACTTGGCTTGAGACATGGAATTTGCACTGTCAACGAATGCTCTGGCGGTTTCAGCAAAGATCTGAGACGCTGGCTTTCCGTAGTCGACTTCAGCCTGTTTAGCGTCAGATATTAGGCCTTGTAGTCTAAATACCCTATCTTGAGGGTTTTCACACTGGCTCGTACTGAACGTCGCAAGCAATTCTGCATAGCTGTAGTGCCTGGCTGACAAGGCATAATGTGTAAGCCACCTGACTTGTAACGGCACAAAGTCATCCAAGGAGACATTTTCATCGAAGTAGGCGTTTCCTTCCACATAGGCATTTCGTAGCGTTGACGTGCAAAAGCGTTTCAGTTCGTCCCATGAAAGCAGTGTCTCCCCACATATGACGCGAATGTATCTTGCTAGCATGATCTCCTGAACGATCCATAACCTCAGCCAATATGGATTGCCGAAGAAGTGCCTTAGCGCGGGTGCTGAAAACACATCTTTGTCTTGCATCGAAGTCTCGCCCCCACTCATTTCGCTGGACGTTTTTGAGCTTATGATCAAGGGTTCAGGACCATGATAGTGTCTGTAGCTAGATTTCAACCCTTTCATGACTGCTTCCGTATTACCATTAGACTTGCCTAACCAGACGTAGACATAGGTCGCTCTTCGATAGATGTCGGACATCATCTTGACCTGATGATTGCGTTCTCCAGTCAATGCCTGGTTGATACATACCTGATCTATCCACAACCACTGAACCTCGTCTTCGTAGCCGTTACCACCTCGAAACTTGTATAGACGATCTCTGAAAGCGTTCAAAAAATCGTAAAGACTTTGCCGTACGAGAAAGCGGCGGCCGTTGACTAGGATCTCCTGAACGGGCGATGGAGGACCCCAAACATAAGACAAAGCGCGGTATTCGGGAGTAGGATTGGACTGGAGGTTCACATGCTGGAGGTTGCAGCTGATCAGTCCTGTTGTTTCGGGAATGATGGATATCAGCCTGATTTCCTGAACAGCCTGATCGATCGGCTCATGAACGAAAGCGGCGCTGGAATCTGCCATGTTCGTCGTGTACCTCGCAAAAGGATTATGGGTGTGAGCTTCGAAACAGCATCGTTAAGAAAGTGGTTGTGTGGAGAGAAAGGAGATGTCATGATGAGACAGGTAAGGCATAAGCCAAGAGAGTGGGGTTTGTGGCGTAGTCGTGGCAGTGCGTAGTGAAGACCAAAGAAGCAATCGGCCTTCTTTCCATCCAAAAGTAATAATTGTGCGCCATGCCTTCGCTGTCACCACACTTGCCCACTATGATAATGTTCGTGAGTTACCAGAACCAGAGGAGCAAAACTATCGCCCAGAGTCCAGAGACAGTGTTGACTAGTTCGATTCCCAGTCCTCGAACTGGAGATTTTGGGTTTTTGGCCCGCTCGGTGGGATAAGCAACACCTGCAGCATCACGGTCAAGCAAAAGCTCCCGATCAGGCATTGTTGGAGGACAAATGGCGTAGTAAAACGGCTGGAAGAAAGCCACAGTATACGTAGGCCAGAGAGTAGTCACCCATAGTATCCGTGGAAGAAGGTAAAGGAACGCGTCCCTTGAAGCGAGGCCGTGAAGATTCGAGGCCGTTTTGAGGTTGCTCAAGATCCCCGCAACTAACGCCAAAGCGATGCACAAATGAAAAATTCCACCGTCTTTGATCAGGATTGACCTTGAACGCTTTCCGAGAGAAGCCCTGCGGAGACGGCTTCTTTCATGAAGTTCGTCAGGTAAGCTTCCCGTTGACCGGAACTTGGCGAAGAAAGCGTTGGGATACCCTCCGAGCCATTTGGGTAGCAAGAACGTCTTGCAATGGTTGATTGCATAGTCTATACGGACGTTAGTCTTGTTATCAAGTATGCTCCATCGACAGCTTACATGGATTTAGAAAATGTGCGCAAAGTAGCTCTCGGCAGCTGGCTCCATAACCGCAGATATAGGCCATCAAGCATTGGCGTACAAAGAGCAAAGCATGAACTGCAGATGCAACTCTAACAAGGGCAATTAATTGCTCTGTTCCTGTATACATGACGATAGGCCAACCAGCCAGAAGCATCACTAGAGTTTTTATGACATCCAGCGTTTTCAGTATGGCTGTCGCGTTGTGAATAAGATACCAAAAAGTGTACGCTCGCTGCCAGCCGGTAAGACCGCCCGAAAGATCTCCATAGAGACCCAGCTTCATGATTAGACCTGCCTGAAAGCCGCCGGTGCTCTGTCAAATCGCTCAAAGTCAGCTTTCAGTGACAAGCTTGAGAGTTGCACAGCAATCTACATACCCATCGCGTACGTTGGCGAACATGTGCATCATATGTTTCTGGTACAAGACCCCACTGTAGCTCTTCTTTCACGTATGCTGACCGCCAACCTACGGGTGGATTAGTTAGGACTTGCTAGATTCAGCACAAGTAGCTTTGCCTGCCTTTGCCAATGAGGAGATTGCCACAAAGAACATCCTCAGTTAGTGATTGCGAAGGGAAGCCGCCTATCTCGGCCAGGGCTGTCCGTCTCATGACCCAACCAGATCCAGTGCACCACGCGATGCCTGCTCCATCCTTTATCGTCTCTTCGAACTTGTGGAAGACGAAGAGTGACTGCGACAGGGGATCATCCATGGGAACGTTATAAAAGCAAGATGGTGGACAGGTAAATGCCATCTTTGGATCCCCGAGCAGATGTGGTAATTGTGCTCTCAGCCAGTGTCTCGCAGGGATCATGTCGGCATCTAATCCCGCAATGAATGGCGCCTGGCCTCCTGGAAGTCTTGCCGTGTACTCGAGTACGTGGTTGAGATTACCTGCTTTGTGACTGTTTGCAGGAGTCCTCTGACGTGCCGTGTAGAAGAGGTGACTGTTGGGGTACTGCTCTTGTAGACGTTGCACACCCCTTGCAACACTCTTTTGAGCTCCGTCGTCTGAGACAATGATCCGGACCCTGTCACTCGGCCAATCTGTATTCAAAGCGGCTCTCACCGTATCGAGTATCACGGACAGGTCTTCGTTGCAGCATACTATCGCGATATCTACTGACGGGACATTGTTGCCTACCAGACGTAATCGAGGTCTCCATGTACCTTTTGCAACTGCCGAAGCGTCCAGTATCTTCTTGACATATTCGGGTACTAGGAAGGTTGGCTTTGCACATTTGGGGGAGATGGAGGTTCTAGATACCATTGGTGATCATATCCAGGATCACGTAGCCACGTTGGGCCATCAAGACTGTACTCAGAGGAGCACGGTCTGGAGCTGACAGATAGTGGTATTGCATCCACCAATAGTAGAAGCTCACAGCAATTGGCAATAGCGTCGCCAGTGGTATGAACTGGATTACTCTCTTCTCCTTTTCAGTCAAGGTGAAGAGATCCTCATACTTCGCATCTGTAGCCAAAATTTGGTAACGTGTAGCATGAGCCTCGTCGCAGTTCAAGAAACTCGCTCGCGAAGGTTTAGTTGGCCTCAAAACAGGGAGGCGCATGTTCTTGAAGAATGCGGTAGTGAGTTTAAAGTTGAAGACGAAAAGAGTGGTTTGAAAGCCTGAGTCAACAATGGAAGTGAGAATGTAAGGGCAAGGAAGTTTGGGATGTTCGAGATTAAAGGTCTATTTCAGGTTGGATGGCATACCCCTTACGAGGCTGCAGATAAGGCGGTAAGCCACAATCAGTGATTCAAACCAGGCGGAATGAATTTATGAAAGTCTTCCGCTGTTGTTGGGTGCGCAAGAGCCCCAAACGGAACGACTTCGGGGCTTACATGTAGTGAACGTGGCAGCAGTTGATCTGATCCACGACCCGATTACTATTCCCGTTACCATCCGCCTAACGGAACTTCCGTATCCAGTAAATGTAAACCTTACAAACCCGCGTAATCGTCAGCCGCTAATCATACTGATTCGACATCCGTAATCTTGCCAAGACGTGATTGGTGCTTTCAGGTAGTATGCGTCTCCTTAAGCAATCTGAGATTTTATTGATTTAATGGACGAATTAGCACTAGAAGCTGGGCACAACACTGTTTGAGAAAAATCTTTTGCTCATAGTTTTGGTGTATTTCTTGAACACTTTGTACTTCCTGTATGCAGTTGCGGTTCTTATTAAGCTACCAATCGTTGAAAATGCACTTCAAACTTGGATTTTTCTTTATGCTCCTTTGTGCTTTATGGGCTTACGCGCTCTTATCTAAATCCTACAAATCCCAGTACTCGTCATCTCGCTATGAAGTAGGGCATGGTCGTGATGTGAATCAAACACTTGGATTTGAAAAGATCTTTGTCATCAATCTGCCATTCCGAACTGATCGCAGAGATGCGTTGGAACTGATGGCAGCGGCCACGGACATGAAGCTTGACTTTTCAAGGGCTGTGAAAGGAGAAGAAGTCGAGGAAGTAGCCCTGGTATATGTAAGGTCCTTCTGCACTACAGACCACAGGTGCCTTGCTCAAAACATCCAAGGGAGGTTCGAAAAACGAAGCAAGTAATGGCACACGAGGAAGCTGGAGAAGTCACCTCAATGTTATCAGGACGTGAGTGGAGGTCTCCAATTGATGTCAGTAGCTGACTGTCCACAGCATTGTCGAAAATCGACTTTCAACCGCACTAATTATGGAAGATGACATAGATTGGGACGTGCGTTTGCAAGAGCAGATGTCACGTTTATGGAGCAACCTTGGTCAGAAACGGCTACAAAGTTGGGAGTGTGTATTGCTAGAGTGGTTTCACAAGCGAACATGGCTAACTCCCACGAGTGTTCTATGGCTCGGCTACTACGGTGAAACCTTCGACCCTACCGACCCAGGATTGACCACCTTTCATGATCCCACCCTTCCCGACTCCCTTACAGATTTCTATTCAAGAAGCACGTCTCAATTTCCGCCACAAAGCCGAGGAGTTCATCGAAGCGACTTCCCACTAGGAACATTTGCGTATGCAGTCAGCTACCACGGAGCAAAGAAGATCCTGTAAGTCTTGTAGCCAGCGCAAGATATATATGTTTATCTCACTGCCCCAACAGCTACCAGATAGGGTTGAAGTCCACTGTTGCGCAGTACGATAATGCTTTGGCGCTATCATGTCAAACCGTCTTGAATTGCATTTCTTTGACACCGGGGCTTTTCCACGACTATAAGGCAGCTGGGTCACCAGAGAAACATTCCTCGAGTAGTCCGCATTTGGAAAAAGAAACACTCCATGAGCTTTTTAGTAAGGAAAGTAGGAACTTGACACGTAGAGAACGAATTCTAACGAAGAACCTTAGAACATAGAGCTGTCTGTGCGTCGTTATATCGGCGAAGAGCTTGGGAAGCAAAACGATCGCCCCAAACAGCCACTATCCGAGTCAGAGATAGGTTCGCGATGGTTTGAAGCAGTGCAAGGCGAAAGGTTCAGAACCTAGAGACATCCACACATTTGATACCACGGGAATTGTAATTGACGAATAAATTGTGGTGTCTTAGCACCGGTATGATATCATGAAGCCGGCTTTAAATTACTGATGCAGCTACTCTATTCCTGTAGAAACCTCATGTTATATAGTGGACCACGCATTATCAATCGGTATCATTGCCCCATTAATCATCGTCGACTCTTCTGAAGCCAGAAAAGCAATGCCGCGCGCCACGTTATCCACTCCAATGTAAGGAACCGGCGTGCCCTCGCTGTCTTTCGATACATGCATTTGCACAATAGGGCTGCATTTATTAGTAAGTGCAAAGCAGAACATATATAATTTCGGTCAAGACTTACAAGAAAGCATTGAAGCCAGCAGAATCAAAGTGCTCCATCTGCACTGATGATGCGATGTTGGTTGCAACGCCGCCAGGCAGCACGCCATTGCATCGAATGCCTTCCTTGTGAAATCGCCAGGCAACGTTTTTTGTAGCACCCACCTATCGCACTGTCAGTACTATTGTAAGGTGTTGCGGCCGGGGGTTTTGTACGTACCAGACCATGTTTGCTTGCAGTGTACGCAATACCCGCACTCGCCCCCGAAGTTCCTGCTTTACTTCCAACGTTGACAATAGAGCCACCCTTTTGTTCCTTCATCGCTGGCAATACAGCCTTCATCATGCGAATAGGCACTGTCAGGTTGATAGACATGACCCTCTCCCACTCTTCTTCGTGAATCGTGTCGGCGCTGCTCCAACCATCGCTCACGCCCGCGCAATTGACCAGGACATCGATGCGGTTGTGTTTGCCGACGCACTTCGCTACAGCATGCTCAGCAGCTTGCGATTCGGTAAGATCAGTCTTATAGAAGGTGAATGTTGAGTAGTCTTCAGCGAGCTTCTGCGGCTGTTCGCCGATGTCTATTCCGAACACTGAAGCGCCTCGTTCGAGGAACAAACGTGTAGTTGCTAGGCCGATACCGGAGCTGCAACCGGTGACTATCGCGACTTTGTCTTGGAGGCTAGAAATGGACATGTTTAGATGCGAGTAATATTGATTGACGTATGGATGCGGATTGATTGATGATTCAGACTAATTGGCGATGCCCGCTGGTGGAAAACTTGGAATGACGTCAACGGTTAGCGTCAATTCTGGGACCCACTATTGACAGTACCACCTAGAATGTATCCACTTGGACGATGCTTCATCTTCACCATCGAGCTCTTCGACCACAAAGACTAGAGTGTATGCACTAGAGAGGGAAGAGTTCGAGGATAAGAAAACTGGGTATATTATGCTATCCTAAGACAGCGATCGCGCAACATCATCCTTGGCACGAACAAAATGAGCTACGGAGCCGATCCCGACGCGTCAACGCGTCCATCACCACTGACAATCTAGATTACTTCTTCCATGCGATGGACATCGCTATCCTTCGTCCATTGCCTGATCCTCTTGCCTAACCCAAAGTACAGTGGGAAGACGAACAGCGCAGGCCCCATCGCACAAGCGAAAATTACCATGGCGGGGGTGATCCACCCATTCTTGCTCCCGTGGGCAAGATCAAAAACCCAGTAACTATACGAGAAACCGATGAAGTTTTTGCAGACTGTCGCGACAACCATAATCTCACCGGAGATAGGTTTGTAGCAGTCGATCGCGTATGCGATGGCGATGGTGGGCACGGTTGTGACACTAAGGCCGGCGAACCCATAGCCCCAAACGACGATATGACCCCATGCCCATTGTTGCTGGTATGCGACGCCACCGAGGATTATCGAGAGCATGGTAATGATCATGTAGATGAACAATGCGGGCAGTCGCATCTCCGCTTCGCGTACACCGCCGTTCTTACGCGCTGCGCGAGCAGATACCCAGTCGGAGTATGGACCTGCCGTCGCCAGACCAAACAGTGCACCTACTGCGAATGCGAAATTTGTGTAGCCAACTTGGTCTGGCTTGAAAAGGTAAGGTGGTGCGGCGAGCACTGGCGACTCTGTGAGGTTGAAGAAGAGGAGGATATCAGCTGGTCCGGCAAGCATCAGCCCTGCCCATAGGATGATTGGGTTGAAGAAGACTTTGATCGGCGTCCAAGTGTCGCGCACAACAAACATCTTCCACCGAGCATCTGGCTTCATGAACGGCATGAACTGCGCACGTGAGGGGCGCCCTTGCACGGCAGTGGGTGTCTCCAGCGAATTTCGTTCGGAGTCTTGAATGCCAGCCTGCGTCGCCTGCTTCTCAAGATTGCTTTGGCCGTCGCTGCTGACGTTGTCGCTACCAGTATGAATGATGAACATCGCGTTACCGCGATGGTACTTTGTCTCAGGAAAGGTGAGTGCGATGAGGATGATGGAAACACCGGACAACGCCGTCTCTAGCCAGAAGAATGACTGCCACCCATAGTGGGCTGCCATAGATCCCGCCATGATTGGACCAAGGAAGGCTCCCATGAAGTAGCCAGTGCTACATGACATATTAAATGCTGTACAACGGTGTGGAGCAGGCATCACTCACAAATAAACTCCGGTCCAGAGGCCTCTCTCGTGCTGGTAGAAGACGTCGGCAATCATCTGCACAGGGATACTTTCGCTCGTCGCACAGACCAGACCGTTTACGGCACGCGCCGCCAGCAGACTGCTATGACTGGTTGCCAATGCCTGCCACACACATGACAACAGAATCAGTACCGAAAATACCAGGCTGACAGCGCGTCTACCAAAAATGTTGGAGAGCGGCACGATGATGAAGTTGGCGAAACCGAGTGTGATGACGGTGATACCAGTCAGCATAGCCAACTGGTTGTTGTTGAGATGGAACTGCGCACCCAGGAGAGGGAACATGGGCGCAATGGACAGAGCACCGGTGACGGAGATCCAAGTGAAGAGCCATTGCGAGGCCATTACCATGACTGCGAAAGCTGTAAGCGGAGTCTAAACGTCTAAACCCAGTGGTGAGGAACAACGTACGCTTCCATTTCCGGGTCCAGTTCAAAGGGTCGCGGGGATCAGAAGAGGGCGTGGGTATCAAAGTCTTCTGTGCTGAGCTGTCCTGGACGATCTCCGTGCCAGGTATGAGCTCAACGTTGCTGTGGTCAATCGCCATCTTGAAGCTGCTTTACTTAACGCAAATTGTTTACTTGGATATTGAGCAGTCCAGCATGAACCTGCAGCGAGGATGCCATCTTATAGTCCCATGAGCACTCGGCGTATTCGCGGTCTATGGTTCATCAATGCCTGGTAGACCGCGGAGGAGGCACCGCTCGGCATTGATCCCAATGCGGTGAGATATCACTTCATGCGCGATCAGCAGTCAAGATTGATTCTCTCCACGCATCAGGTGTGTCAGCTACTGCCAAATCTAGCTAGATCAGCGAATGATAGTGTAGTGAAATGAAGATTATGGGAAAGTCGAGGCGACTGGGTCTGTTCGCACTTCCGTAGTGTACTCTTGAATCCTTGCTCAACGGGCATTGGCAAAGCTTCGGCTGGTCAATGGTTGGCCGGCAGATGCTATCAACGCTATCAAACGCATGCATGGAGTCGGGAGGACTTTAGGAAAGGTCCCCTGTATAGTTTCTCAACCCGCCGATCCCACAACCTGCATGATGTGAGGTACAAGGCTGATGCCCTAGAGCCATATCGATGAGCTCGTACATAGTGCATAATGACCCTAGCTGCAGCCGGACCATAGGCGACTGTTCTGACGAGTGTTGACCTTTCCTCTCTGGCCTGCACTCGTCTTTACAGATTCTAGGGCCTTATTCTTCTCCTTTGTCCACAGAACTTGCTATCAAACAGCACGATAAGGCGTGACACGTCGCATACCTCCTCTTCCTACCTCTTACTAAATCTATCTTCGAAAATGTGGCAACTGTGAAGCTTTACTGTTTTCGGCATTGAAAGTGGAGACCCATTGTGGTGGTGGCGGGCACCATCCGGGAAGTCGCATCGGAGAATGCGGGGAGGCGCGCTGACGGACTCCCGTAGCCTCACTTGGCGAAGCGACTTGTCTTTCTTTATTCAACCTTGAACTTCTCAACTATAACTGTTTTTCGTCAAGTCTGAAATTCGCGCGACACTATCGACTGAGATTGATTCGTTTTCTGAAAGACGGAACTTTCCGTCCAAGTGGTCATGAACCGTTGCTCTCAGAACGACGATACGTACCAGCCATGTACATACTACATTTAGCGAGGAGGTATAGGCTTCTTCGTCTATGTCTAAAGATTCCTGAGGGATATAAGACAGTGCAGGTGTCCCCAGGATGATTGCGTGATCAGATGGGAAGCCATGATAGTTGGAAACACCCCGAACGAACCACAAGGGCAAGTTTTGCCGCGACATCCGGCACATTGCTAATCCAGAACGAAGTAGCAACTTCAAATAGTTACACAAAGCAAGTATCGGCCGAAGTTACTTTGCAATCACTTCGAAGCCCTATTTGATTTTGACAGGGTACTACGGATGGCCGGATGTCCTTCGAAATTGCGCTTGACTTAGAGTTTTGCTGACACTCCCAAGTCGACGTCCGGCGTTCCAAGAAAGATACGCTTGTCCATACATGACGAAATCTTCCAATCCTGAGAGCGTGCGTATTCTTGCGGAGAGTGTGCATTCATGCGAATCCATCGTACTGCAATCTCTCGTGCAACAGCATCTGGGTTGGCTTGCGCATCGTACATCAACATGGCACCACTAACGATTACCATGAGATGTTCGAGAATTTCTCGTCCGTGGTATAGGAGCTCTTCTTTCTGCGCATTATGGATAAGTTTGTTGAGAGCCTGAAGTATATCCTCGACGATTAAAACCTGATCATGGAAGGTAGACGAACATTGGTCGAGCAAGTCTTTGATCCATGGCACGAACACGTTGTTCAAGATATCACCATCGCCCAACCGCTTGTCAGTAAGCACTCGAACGACGTCTTCAGCCATAACGCTGACGGTACCTTCCCATATCGGATTGACGAGATTATCGCGATAAATCTTCGCAATGTTCATCAAGCCGCCGTCTTCGTTGTTTTCGCAGTATCCGACACCACCGAGGCATTCCATACATTGCCGTAACCCATGAACGGATGCCACACTGACTTGGGCTTTCATCGCAGGCAGCAGCAATCTCAACAAAGCCGCTACCGTAGTGTTATCATTTGGTATCAACTTCGCTGCTTTCGTGTTTGCAACCATTTTGTCCCAATCTTGTTCCAGGGCGCCTTGCAGGGCAACACCGAGGTACGTGAAGTGCGTATTAGCCCAGTATCTGACCGTCTCTCCAGCCATCCACGCCAGATGTGCAGGGTTGGTCTGGAGTAATCCACCACGAACTTTGCGTACCTTGCTATAGGCACGGCAAATAGCCAAACCACGTCCCCAGTTCGCAACACTGCCCCCTGCAGTGTGCAATCGCGTGATATTGAGGATAGCGGATATTTCCTTGACGCCTTGGCCTTCAGTACCGATGAGCCATCCGCGCGCACCATTCAGTTCGAGCTCGGCAGTTGGCAGTGATTTGGTTCCTAGCTTATCCTTCAGACGCTGGATGCGAACACCATTGAGCTCAGTTTGAGGCTGCGCTTCTCCAATCATAGAATCGGAATCCAGCGATCGAGTACCCACCCTTCGACGCATGGGTATGTAGAACGCCGACAAGCCACCTTTGTCTGTACGTGCAAGAAGTACAGCCATCTCAGAGTCTGTTGCGCTGCTGAACCACTTGAAGCCATGTATCCTCCAAGGGCCTAGTTCCATACCGACTGCATCACGGTCTCTTCCCATCTTTCTATCTTCAGCCAGTTCCTGCGATGTCATACGTGCAGCAAATGTTTCTGTGCCGGATACATCACTGCCACCGGATCGCTCCGTCATCCATTGCCCACTTGTCCAAGCCACATCCGGGTCGCGGCTGCAAAGTCGATCGTACGCTTCTCTTAGTACTTCGCCTCGTCCTGATTGATCCCCGTCAGAATCATTCTTGTGCTTGCCTAACAGTGTCGCAGCGCCATCAGTCATGCTTTGAGGGCACCCGGTCATGGTACCAGTCGAGCTCCATACATGGTTTCCGACAAATTGTTGCACACGCCTGTTGAAGGTGGTATGAGCTTTGTCGTAAGCCACCGAGACCACCCCCTCTTGGTATCCAATCTCTTTCAGGTTCTGCCACCCAGACGTCGTCCACAAAGGATCAATCTTGTTCTCTGCACCGAATGTAGAGAGTGGTCGTAGTACCGGATGTTTCGTCTCCGCGTCCGTGGCATACTTCAAGATAGATGGCTTCAACGCTAGACGTGCTAGATGGTGTACATGCTTGGTTGCTTCCGTTGCATTTTGTGGTAAGTAGAGATCCAATATTCGCACGACGACCTTATCGTCCGAGGCCTGCAAAGAGTCCGGATATCGAGACTGGAGAGCTTCTGGAAGGGAAGATGTATTGGTGTATTGTGGTGGTAGTACCGGAAGAGCTTGGAAGAAGCCAGCGGTTGAGGAGGAAGCAGAGAATGGCTGTTGCATCATGCTGGCATATGCGACACCATTGGCTTTGGAAGACTGAACATTGAATTGGAAAAGCACACGATGTCTGTACGCGTGACTGAGATATATCCCAGATTCTCGGATATCCAGGCTGATGAGGAGATCCTCGGTTCACCCCGCAAAATGCCCAATCCGGCAGCCATAGCCGGATTAGCAGCAACATCGGCCGAGGGCACCATACGACCAAGCTCATTGTAGTTTTTGAGACTTTTTATCATGATAATGTGCAGGCTGATGGCCGTCGTAGAGCAAGACGATCACTCTTGTTGCCTGCTTAGGTGCCGTCTCCTCTGTGGATTCCCAAAATCATCTCCCGGTACACCTCGGCTTGGAACTCATCCTCCGATATTCTATACATGCCGATGGTTACAGCAATCAATACTACGCTGATACCATGATCGGTTGGGACCAAAACAAGCCTGTCGGTAATCTAAGAAGCGAAAAGCTTGTCGTGATTTGCCTTCGGTACTATCGTTGCAACTGCCGACACTCGATGTTAATTAATGCCTTCATCCAAATGATCAAGTCGGGAGATCGCCACAGGTTTGTTGCTGAATGAACGTCACAAGATGTGCGACTACAGACTTCTCGGTGTTCTCATTGGCATGAGCAAGAAAAGAGGTATTGCCTCTGTCACACTCCAATATATTGGATGATAGTAGCCACCAGTGTACACTTGCTGTCATGTCTGCTGCTTGGCTTAAAAAGCGGTCGAACCATCGACTTGGTATTTCTCGCAACTGTCCAGTAATTCGAAATACTATTGTTGCCATGATTTGGTCCACCATCGCCGCCGGCGCTCTGTTGACGCAAAGCGTCGCTGCACAGAATATGCTCCGTTTTGCATGTTCGCAACTCACCGTCGAGAGAGCTGATCCGCTGGTGAACCCTGGTCAACGACCCTCACCACACACGCATCAGATCATCGGAGGAAATTCCTTCAACCTTACTGTACGGCCCGACCCGCCTGTTTCGTCAGCCAGACACTCACTAACGTGTTGCAGATGGAGCCCGGCGTCTTTGATCCTCCAACTCGTTCAACCTGTACATCCTGCACGTATAGCGAGGACTTCAGCAACTACTGGACTGCCTCGCTGTACTTCAAATCCCCCGAGAACGGTACTTTCCAGCGTGTACCCCAATTCGCCAACGTAGGACTCCAACAGGATGGCGGTATGACGGTATACTACATGCCGTACTCTGCCAAGAACAATAAGATGACTGCCTTCAAGCCAGGGTTTCGCATGATTGCGGGCGATCCCATGGCCAAGAAGCCCAACAGGGCAAGCATCTGCCACAGATGCTTGCAAAATGGTGAGGGCTTCGCGCCATGTGATGCGAAGGATACTGCGGAGCTGCCCAACAAGTATTGTCCTGGTGGAATTAGGGCGACTATCATCTTCCCTTCTTGCTGGGACGGCAAGAACCTCGATTCCCCGGATCACAAGAGCCACGTCGCGTACTCGAATAGCGGTGGTCTGGGTACTCCAAACTGCCCTAGTACGCATCCTGTGGCCATCCCACAAGTAATGTACGAGATCATGTGGGATACCGGACGGTACAAGAACAACGCCTGGTACGGTGCTGGAAGGCAGCCATTTGTGTACAGCTTTGGTGACGGGTGAGTGCTCTCCCTCATGTTTTTACAACGGTGATTAACTTGCAACAGTACAGGTTACGGTCAACACGGTGACTACCTCTTTGGCTGGAAGGGTGACGCGCTACAGAAGGCCATGGATGCTTTGCCCAGCGGCAAATGTGCCAATGCTAATTGTCAAGTGCTAAAGATCCAGTCTGCACAAGACTCGATGAAGTGTAAGAAGCCACAGCAGGCGGTTGAGGATGTTGGTGTGAGTGGCGACTGGCTGACGGAACTTCCTGGGGGCATGGCGGTCACTTACTGATGTTATTCTGTTCGCTTCACCGCTAACACGACTACCGGTAAAGACCACAATCTTCACCGTAGTTTAATGTAGCCAAGTTGCTGCCGAATGATCATGATCCACAACACGTGACATAGTATCAACGAGACCTTCAGTGCGCCAGTGATGTTGAGACAAGCTCGAGCGACATGAGGCCAGCGCCACGCCAGATCCGGTCATGTGGTGGTGGCCTTGTCGAGATGCAGCTCGTGCGAGTACCGAACGGATGCTGCGAGCTTTATGCGACACGTGACATACTTGTTTCGTCTTTGGTTTGAGCAGCCAAATGTGGTGATGTCTTGACGCGTCGCGAGCATGGCGGTAAGCTTCTAGCACTGCACAACGCGTTCTTAGCCTGCGTTCTCCCGTAGAAGGAAAGGAACCCTCATTCTAAAGCTTTTGCAGGCTGGTGCGGGTGCATCTTGGGTTTTCGCTCGAGTCGCGGGATAGATGTGAGTTGTTTCTGTTGAGATGCCCGAGGTTTGCCGACGTTCGCCCGTGAAGGAATGCCTTTAGCCCGCCAAGCTTACCCCTCATTCATCCATCTCCCCCGAGCCTTTCTTACGATCCACAGCTACCCCGAGGATCCGGAACATCATGAGATACACCCGCAAATTTTGTGATTCGAGGAAAAACTCGTCATCGTACTCACACGCGATTTGAGCCGCAACTGCACGGCCGTCAACATGGTTGCAGCCGTGGCAATAGCAGCCTGGGCCCAACAGGTTGCGCGGCATATGGCGCGTAACGGAAGACTGGAGCCGCATCGAGATCAGCCTGAGTACTCAATATCTTGAGCCTCATCCCATGTTAAAACTCTCGAGACCAAAAAAGAAACGGCCGCTTCAACCATGGGTACTTTCGCCAACCCGGTCCTCACAGGCTTTAACCCAGACCCATCTGTCATCCGCGTTGGCGACGACTACTTCTGCGTTACCTCGTCCTTCGAATACTTTCCCGGAGCGCCCATATATCACAGCAAAGACCTAATCAAATGGAAACTAATCGGCCACGCACTCACGCGCAGGTCTCAACTCGATATCAGAACCCCGGAGCCAGGAGGTGGCGTCTGGGCAACAACCATTCGGTTCCATAAGGGCACTTTCTACATCATTACCAACTCTTTCGATCGATACAGACCGCAGAACGACGATCGTGTGTGGCCACGTGGCTTTTATGTCAAAACCACCAATATCTGGAACGAGAGCTCGTGGTCTGACCCGGTGTATTTTGATCAGGTTGGTTTCGACTTTGACCTCTTCTGGGACGATGACGGTCAGGTGTATCTCTCTTCGACTTACCGGAAGGTTGATCGCTTTTCGGATTCGAAACTGAAAGACTTTGCCATACACGTGTCTACCATTGACCTTGCTTCGGGCACCTTGAAATCCACACCGAAGATGATCCGGGAGTCTAAATCAGGTATTGCAGAAGGCTCGCACCTCTTCAAACTGAACGGCTATTACTATCTCTTCACGGCGGAAGGAGGTACTGAATCAGGGCACTGCGAATATGTGAGCCGGAGTCGCGAGAGCCCTTTCGGACCTTGGGAACAAGCACCACACAACCCACTTTGGCGCAACACAACAGACGATGAGATCCAGAACACTGGTCATTGTGATATTGTTGAGGATACCCAAGGCCAATGGTGGGCCATGTGCTTAGGCGTACGGCCGAAGAAGGAAGGTGCTGAATGGCGAACGTCAGTTTTCGGACGCGAGTCCATGCTACTTCCGATTCGCTGGGAGAATGACTGGCCGATATTCAACGAGGGAAGGCCAGTCACCTTGCAAATGAGCGGACCAAACAAGTACATGCTTGATGAGGACAAGGCTTGGAAAGACAATTTCAGTGGTGTCAGACTCGGTCTTGGGTGGTATCGGAAGAGTGAGCATCTCAGAAGCTGCTCTGAGAAACGCTACTAATGCATACGTAGATACACCTGTGAGGAAAGACTACTCATTGACAGCGCGACACGATTACCTTACTTTGAATGGTAGTCCCTACACGCTATCGATGCCCACATGTCCAACGCTGTTCTTGCGAAAGCAAAGGCATTGGCCGGTGGTGTGGGAGACTCAAATAGATTTCCAGCCTGACGTGCCGCGTGTTGAGGCAGGAACAGTGTTATGGTGGAATCATACTTGCTACGCCAGCATTGGTATCGCGCTTACAGATCGCGATGGTCGACAGCAACGCGTGGTTAAGCTTACGCGGCCGGATCTGGAAACTGTAGAGCATGTTATCTCAGAGCAGGGCGAGGTGAAGCTTGTGATCGATAGCACTGCCACAAGCTACCGATTCGGATACCGGCAAGCCGACGATGGTCCGCAGCAGAAGACTGAGTGGACATGGCTAGGCGACATCGATACTCAGGTCATGACACGCAATCCGCCCGTTGGTCAGCCTTTCACTGGCATGATGATGGGACTGTACGCATGTGGCGAACTACAGCCTGTTCTGACCCCGGCGCACTTCAAATATGCTCAGTTTCGATAACTCCAAGAGCTCATCGCCATCTTAATACAGTCTACTACATAGCTAGTGCCGACAAGATACTGACTTCAATTCCTACGAGATCCTGTGATAATATCTCTGAGCTCAATTGTGCAAATAGATCACTCGGTTGGACTGACTTTCTCAACTGACCTCGCTACTGTATTTATAGCAAATGATTTAGCGATCAGCATCGTTGCCGGAGTAGCCATGGAGATAGCAGAGCTGCTTGCTGGTCGTAACATCGACAACCGCATGATGCCTTTTAGCAGTTTTAGGGCCTGCGAAACACTCAAGCGTCTACACTGTCAAGCCGTGGCGAATGTGGAACTGCAGCACTTACCGAAATCCAGTTACTACGACGTGTACCTGAACGCCTTGAACTCGGAGCTGTTCGTCACATCGCAAGGTTGATACTCTCAAGTTCACCGTAGGAGGCCTATACTTCCCATAGCTCCCATGTAGTAGATAATCTTGATTATACGCTCTCCAGAATTCCGCCAATCAATCTATTGGGGTGATATCTGACCCCGCGACCCATGAAGCTTGATAATTGTTGGGTGATCATACATGTCTGAGCTACGAGCCGTCTGGAATGACTGAGCTCAATTCTCTTGATGAGTAATTACATCATGCATGGCCCTAAGGAGGTACAGTGGATCTAGAATTTGGTGATTACATCGCCAAGAAGTCTCGACGATTGCTGTTTAGTATTTTGTGATCCGGAATCAAACTTGATACTCATCATATTCTAATCATACCAACTATTACTGGTTCCAAGTGCGACACAAGGACGAGACATCGCTCGGAAATCACGCCATTCATGTCCAAAAATCCGTTTGAACGGTTTCCTCCTCATTTGCAGGAGATTATGCCATCGCTAGCGGCGTTGGTAATCCGGTAATTGTGAGTCGCTCATCAACTACGAACCTTGCAGTACCATGAGATGATGTTATGAATCCACAGAATACTTCCGTACGTTCGGACGAGTACAAGAAGGGCGGTACATCACGTAGACTTCGCTAAATCAATCACAACAAAACAGTCAAGCGACTAACAGTAGTCCTCCATCGTGGAGATAAACACACGTTTATACTTCGCCATAATGCTCCGTCAAGGTCTTCCTACATGGGCCACTTTGCTACTTATTTCAACCACTGCTGCCCTCAAACTACCTACCTACCGAGGCCTACGGACCGACCAGTCCAAACAAGGCGTTCTACAGATCGCTTTCAATAATCCTGACTCAGAAATCAACGTCTGGGGTGAGGATGCCTTGAAAGGACTGACGGACATCGTACAGAGGTTGCAAAATGACACCGAGACGAAAGCCATTTTGTTCACGAGCGATGTGCCAAAGTACTTCTTAGCCCATCTCGATGTGCTGAGCCAGCCGCTCGGTAAGTGCCCCTCATAAGCAGTGCCTCCGTTCAGCTATATCCCCCCATCTTCCGCTACAAGTTCTCCATCTCTTGGACAATGCTAACAAACGTAGACCCGACCATCTCCCAAAGATCCGTCGAGCTCTTCTACAGCCTGACCAATCTCCCGCAGGTAACAATTGGTGCCGTCAACGGTGTAGCCCGCGGAGCCGGAAACGAATTTCTCCTCTCCCTCGATATGCGATTCGCCGTAAAATCGCACTCACGTTTCGGACAGCCCGAGATCGCTACTGGCTACCTCCCTGGTGGCGGAGCGCCCCAGTACCTTCCGCGGTTGATCGGTCGTGGACGCGCAATGGAATATATTCTCACTGGCAAGGACATTCTGGCAGAAGATGCTGAGCGTATGGGCTGGATCAACAAGGCGTTTGACAGCGAGCGCGAGATGAAGGCATATATCGACGATATGCTCGAGGTTTTGACACTTTATTCTACTAGGGCCATCGGGCTGAACAAGAACGCTATCAATGTGGCAAGTAGACCGCCGATCGCGAACACTCTAGCCGACTCCAATGCGTTCTCGGAGAGTGCGGCACGGCCAGAAACACAGAAACTCTTAGGAGATTTCCTGGAGTTAACGCAAAATCTTTCGGCTACTGATATTGAGCTGTACTTAGGCGAGAATGTACCTTTGCTATATAAGGTAAGTGCATCTTGAGAAGCTCGATATACGGAGGATCAGCATTACATGTGGGAGGATACAGTGGTCGGCCGTCGTTCACTTCTGGATGTGTGTTGTTCTTCATGCAGTGGGTCGATAAGTCATGTATTGTAGCAGCGCACGGAAGCTAGCCAATGTAGCTCGTCAAGTGAGCAGACTTGTCAACAATCAAGCCAGCTTGATCGCTATCAAGCTGGCGCATCAAGCTGGCTAATCAATCAAGCCAAGCTGGAGTAGAGGTACAAATCAATCAAGCCAAGCTGCTGTAAGCTAGCTTGATTGTTTGGCTTAATTGGCTTGATTAGCTAAGGCCTACGCGTGAGGTTGTTAGGTTTGCCGTAGCAGCGATCACACGATACTTTTTTAGTGTTAAGGTCAGCAACTAATATACAAAAAAAATTCCTAACAACGCTGTATATACATATATATATACAAAAAAACCTCACGATAGAGCTATTACTGCCGCGATTCAAATACAGCAAAAAAAAATCTCCTAATACTACAGTGTGTCGCTGACGGCTGCCTGCTTCAGGCGACCGTGGGCGACACACTGTAGCACTAGTAAGTACAAATACAGTAGCTATTATACACCTCTACTACCGCTTGCTAGGCGTAGTAGAGACGATTGTAGGCCTAATATTACTGTATATATCTATAGTGTTAAAGTTGTTGCTACAGGTAAAGGTAGATGTTGTGAATAACAAAAAAACGCGTTGTTTTAACTGCGCAATTGTACAACTACAACACAATATTTACAGTATATTGCGCTGCGTATCTCACAAACAGACAACTACAATTTAATTGCCGCTGTCGAATTTAATTAATTGTTGCGTTGTTGTAGTTGCTTTTAGTAGTTACGATAGAGGGTGCTAAGCAATACATCTCGTGCTACTTAGGTAACTATCTCATATTGTAACCGTACAACTCTGTATACACAACGCCACCCACAACACGTACTTTTCAGCTGTATCACGTACCGCCTACGCGCCGCTGTATTGCCGCTGGCTTTCTGCATTTATTGCTATATCCTTGTCGCAGTTATGCCGCAGAAGAGACGCGCCAAAGACGCTGTTACAGCGTTAACAACAAAGCGTCCTAAACCTACACCTAGCAGCACCTACAGCTAAGCTATACCTATTAAAAGCCCTTAATCGTCACCTCGTCCGTCGCCCCGTAAAGCCCTGGTTAAAGCGTCCTAGGTATTAAGTTTCGAAGCGCAATTGCGCGAGTCGCAAATAGAGGAGTATATTAACCCACCCACCGAGGGCAGCAAGGAGGCAACGATAGCAACTAGCGAGTCTAACAATACAGCTTTAGACGAGGAGTTAGAGGATAACTTCAATGGCATTAATTAGGATTGTCTCCCTCAGTTTATGAAGCCTATAGCGTCGCAGCGTCACAAGAAAAGCTAGGTCTATAACTACAGCTAGCGCGTCGCGCTGCGAAGCAATCCTCAACGCATATATTTCGTATGCCGCTATTGTTACGAGCATAAGCTTATTGACCTCGGCGTCACGAAGGTATACGAAACAACAAACTCAACGTCTTCTGCCCATCGACACCTTAGAGAGAAGAGACGCGGCCATGGCCACTAACCACCTCACGTAACAGCTCGTTCTACAACGATAAGTGTCCTCCAACAAGTACTTACTGGCAATCGGGTTAGCTAGAGTATCGCGAACGAGCTCTCCGGCTTCAACTCCCAGCGCTTTCGGCTTAACGCAGTTAGCTGGCTTATTGAAGCTAACCTCCCACTGTCTACGTTTGAATCGCTAGCTTTTCGACAATTAATATCGTCAGCCAACGTCTAAGCAGAAGCGGCACTGTGGACGTCCCACAACAGCGTCTCTCGTTACGTTATGCGCCTGTACGACTACTTACGGCCGCAAGTCGTCACAGAACTGTCGCGGGCACAGAGCAAGATACACATAAGTTTTGACGGCTGGACGACAAAGGGTGGCAAGCGTGGGTTCTTGGGTATCGTTGCCCACTACGTTGACAAGCAAGGCGATATTGTAGACTTACCTATCGCGCTGCCGCAGTTGACAGGCGCCCACAGTGGACATAGGATGGCAAAGGTTGTTATCTAAACGTTGAAAGAGTTCGGTATAAACGCTCAACGTATTGGCTACTTCGTACTCGACAACGCAAGCAATAACGACACCGCGATAGACGCAATTGCGCTAACAATAGGCTTCAACCCACGCCATCGCCGCCTCTGTTGTAGTCCTCATACAATTAACCTTGTCGGCCAGATGCTCCTCTGGGGAGAAAACAGTGCCTCGTACAACAACGATACCGCTGAGATTACTGCTGAAAGCGAGTATATAAGCGAGTGGAGGCGCGATGGGCCCTTAGGCGTACTCCTAGGTATCGTCAACTACATTAAAACACCACAGCAATACGCTCTTTTTGCTGACTTTCAGCGCCTTGCCCATCGCGAGCTACCAGCTGACGCA